CCGTCCCAATAGTCATAACTTCATAATGTCTTCACATTCACATGCACAACACCACATGCTACCTTCTGAGAGAGATGAATAAAACCAATTTTTAATGGACTAATTTGTCAGTCTTACAGTATGACGGGGTCTATTATTCAGAAGAAAATCATTTTCCTCAGCTGTTAACAGATCAAATTCCATTAAGTCCGGTGGGCCACTATATCTTCCTCTTTCACATTGATCTAATTAATTAAGATAATAGTATAAAATTCCAACTATTCAAAGAAGGATATATTCCTTTCTTCTTTTCCAACCTTTTCCAATCATGCTTACCTCATCATACGTCTTTGTGCCTTTGCTTCATCCACTTCCTTCACTTTCCTTTCTCTGCTCAAACTCTTTGTGTGCTTGTTTGCCTCTCCAATGGCTACCCTGGAGGATATTGGTGTTTCTGCATTGATCAACATCCTCGTTGCATTTGCGTTTTTACTGGCTTTTGCTCTGCTCAGAATACAACCCATCAACGACAGGGTTTACTTTCCCAAGTGGTACATCAGTGGAGGAAGAAACAGCCCCAGGAGGTCCAGGAATTTTGTGGGCAAGTTTGTCAACCTCAATGTTATGACTTACCTCACTTTCTTGAATTGGATACCTCAAGCTATGAGGATGAGTGAGTCTGAGATTATTAGCCATGCTGGCCTTGACTCTGCTGTTTTCCTCAGAATTTATACTCTTGGGTACTTCAAATTTTCCTCCACTTTCTTTTTGGTTTTTAAGTTGTTTGTTTCTTGGGAAAATTTGGTTGTGAGTTTTAATTTGCTTTATTTAATTTTATATTTTATACATGATGGGTTAGGATGGAAAAAATGAAAACTTTGAATTCAAGATTTGATCTTTTGTCTTCTGAAAGTACTGGAATTTTGTGAAATTCAGCTTGCTGGGTACTAAAATTTCTTTTGTTTTTTTTTTTTTCGCCTTTCAGTTTCTTTAACTTTAAGATGGAGCTGATTGAATTCTAAGTGTGGATATTCTTGTGCGTCAAACTAGTTTTGGACCCCCTTCCCCCCCTCCCCTTTTTTCTTTGAACTGACGTTAAATCAAAATAGTTTTAGACCTTGAGTCGGTAAAGTTGGAATTTTTATTCCTTTTCCGTTAACTGAGAAAATAGTTTTCATTTTTTTAATATTTTTTCAAGAACAATATTTTGTAATTTGAAGTCTCTTGAATTTTGCTGGTTTTGGATCTGAATTGGTTAAATTGAGCTCCTCTGTTGTTAAAATCTTCTCCAATGTTGTTCCTTTATGAAATTTTACTCTTTTGAGCTAATGAAGTCTTCAAAATTCTGCATTTAGTTTGTGTATTCTTTTGGGGATTCCAATTGTAGTTATATTTCTTAATGCATAGTTATTTTATGGCTTTCAATATGTCTGTTGTCTAATTTGTTTTCCCTTCACAACAGCTTAAAGATCTTTGTTCCCATGACGATCGTGGCACTCCTTGTCCTTATTCCAGTCAATGTATCAAGTGGAACGTTGTATTTTCTGAGGAAAGAATTGGTTATAAGTGATATTGATAAGCTGTCAATATCGAATGTTCATCCTAAATCTATAAGGTAAAGTCCAGTGCTTTTCCTTCCTTGTTAATGCCTTGAAATATTGTAAAAAAAATGACGTTTTACAAACTTTCTTCAGGATTTTCCTCTGAATTTCTCACAAAGGTTATGCTTGACTTTCAGGTTTTTTGTTCACATAGCACTGGAGTACCTGTTCACCTTCTGGACTTGTTTCTTTCTTTACAAGGAATATGGTAATGTAGCATCCATGAGGTTGAATTTCTTGGCTTCCCAGCGGAGGCGAGCTGAGCAGTTCACTGTAAGTTGAACCATTTATTGTATATTTTGAGGAACATTTAAAGTATAATATATGGTGAGAACAAAAATGTACCAAAAAGAACAAGAGAAGAAATTATTATGCAATTATTTCTCATCATTAAGATTTTAGGCCAAGATGCTTTAGTGCAGTGCAGTTGCTTGCATTGTGCTTGTACAGATTTCCCTTTCAGGTCATATAAGTCTCAGTGGCTATCAACTCATTAGTCAAACTCTGTTGGTAAATGTTGTGAAATTCTGCAGGTAGTTGTCAAAAACGTGCCTCGTGTTTCTGGTCATTCAATATCTGATACTGTAGACCAGTTCTTCAAAACAAATCACCCAGATCATTATCTTTGTCACCAGGTAATACATTTCCCTTGTGTTGTGGTACTTTATATGGGAATTTCCTTTGTTTATAATTTCATTTTACTTAGTTTTATGGTACCATAAACTATGAAATGTTTAATGCAGGCAGTCTACAATGCAAACAAATTTGCTAAATTGGTGAGGAAAAGGGATAGACTACAAAATTGGCTAGATTATAACCAACTGAAGTTTGAAAGACATCCTGATAGGAGACCAACTTTAAAGGTTTGTGACTAATGTCGATGAGTTACATGCTGGATGAAAAACCTGTTGGCTTGTATATTTACATAATTCATTGCACTTTTCAGTAATATTTCAGAAATTCATCTGCATGTGTTGCATTTGTTGGACCTATAAATTTGACAGTTCAAACACTTTACACTTTCAGACAGGATTTCTGTGTCTTTGGGGTTCAAAAGTTGATGCCATTGACTACTACAAACAACAGATAAAGGAGTTAGATAGAAGAGTGAGCAATTTCCCTTTGAAATTAGTTTTCTTCACCTGTTGGATCAAGTATATCAGTCTGCAATTTCTTTTCAAAATGTTTGATGGCTCTACTATGGGCCTAATTTCACCATTTATTGTATCAGATGGCACTAGAGCGGCAGAAGATAATCAAAGAGCCTAAATCTATTTTGCCAGTTGCTTTTGTCTCATTTAACTCTCGTTGGGGAGCTGCTGTTTGTGCACAGACACAACAAAGCGAAAATCCAACTCTGTGGATAACAAATTGGGCTCCAGAACCTCGTGATGTTTACTGGCAGAATTTGGCCATACCATTTGTGTCTTTGACCATAAGGAAACTAATAATATCATTATCAGTATTTGCCTTGGTGTTTTTCTATATGATACCTATTGCGTTTGTGCAATCCCTAGCAAATTTAGAGGGTCTTGAAAGAGTTGCTCCATTCCTAAGGACCGTGATAGAACTGTAAGTGATGAAGTTGTAATTTTCTTAGCTCACCGATTCCATTGAGCATTTTTTCCCATATGTTTTCTTATCTTAAATGTTGGACATGACCTTTTGTATCTTTTGATGGCATTATGCAGGAAATTCATTAAATCATTCTTACAAGGTTTCCTGCCGGGTCTTGCTCTTAAAATATTTTTGTATATACTTCCTGCAATTTTGATTATCATGTCAAAGATCGAGGGACATATTGCATTATCAACTCTAGAACGGCGAGCAGCTGCAAAGTACTATTATTTTATGTTGGTGAATGTGTTCTTGGGAAGCATAGTGACTGGAACAGCTTTTGAGCAGTTGCACTCTTTCCTTCATCAATCACCTGCACAGTAAAACTCCATGTCCTTATCTCTGCTGCACTTTATTTTTTTGCAGATGTATTTTAGTCCGTAACATTACATTTTCTATGTTCCCAGGATTCCTAGAACAATTGGGGTGTCTATACCAATGAAAGCCACCTTTTTTATTACATATATAATGGTTGACGGGTGGGCTGGCATTGCTGCTGAGATTCTCCGATTGAAGGAATTGGTTATCTTTCATCTTAAGAATATGTTTCTGGTGAGGACTGAAAGAGACAGAGAAAGGGCAATGAATCCAGGCAGTGTGGATTTCCCAGAAACTATCCCAAGTCTTCACCTCTACTTCCTTCTAGGGATTGTCTATGCTGTGGTTACACCAATTCTTCTTCCTTTTATATTAGTCTTCTTTGCCTTGGCATACTTGGTTTATCGCCACCAGGTTAGAATGTTTCCTTTGCTTTCTTTCTTTGTATATAAAGTAAAAGCCCAGAATT